AGAACCTTTCAGGCTTCAGGCTTTTGGCTTCAAGGTTTAGGCCTGTGGCTTTAGGCTTCAGGATCTTGGTTTCTTGGCTTCGGGCAAGGTCAAGTAGTTTCAGCTGTAGGCAGTGCATGACATTATTTATACTAAATGGCTCCATAAGTCAGCCAGTGACTCAGTCAGTCTGGGGACAGGGGGCTGGCCCTTTGGGTCAGGCAAAAAAACCATGGTTGCCCAAAACTGGCGAAATCACTAGTCCGAAATAAACCACAGTTTTCCTCTTCTATTTAGACCCTCCTTCGCACCTATTCAAAGCTCTCTTCCCAAGCAAAGGGAAAGCGAGACAATCTTGATATTCCCCATCGATTGCGTCAAACACGCTTTCCATGCATTATTAAAACGCTTGACAACTGCAGCTAAACCATCCACTCCACAGCTTTCCCGCGCTGTAAGGCCTTTCCCCTGTGTCTTCAGTCTTCTTTTTCCCCTAAGATTTTTTCCTTCCACCGTGTTCTTATGAAAAACACAAAAAACACAAAAACCTCACAATCACAAGTCGAAATCACGGCTGGGAAGGACCTCGCGGGGGCCATTTACCCACGGCAGGCACACTGGGCCGATAGCTCCATATCACGGCCTCCTATCGGCCACTTTATCAGTTGCCAGCTCTTCGTTTATCACCGATGATTCTCGCACCAAGACGCTCTGCCCTCCCAAGCGCGCTCTCCTTTTTCTCTCCTGCTTTGCATTTCTTTCCCACGGTTTTTCTCTCCATTATTCCTCCTCTTGTCCTCTGCATTGGGACACCGTGTCCACCTTATCTTTCCCCGATCGCAATGCACGACATTAGAATTGGTTGTGCTCTCAAGTTCCTTGAGATTTGCATGCTGGGTATCAACTGCAATTAAGTTCCAGTTATCTCTGTGATCTCGGTGCTTGATGATGAGTGGGGTTTACAGTGAATATTTTGGCGATGGTTCTTTGCATGCATGTTGCTGGGTTTTCCCTGATGTATACGGAAGCTGTTTCGTGTTTTGCGTGCTTAATGAAGACGATAAATCACACAGAGTCTTGGGTCGAATGAGACTATGCCAAACACAATAATAGACAAGTATAATAACATAAAAAATATATATAATTGAGTAAGGAGAATATATTTACCTTAAGTATAGACCCTTTACGGATAGCCGCCAGACCAGAAATGCAGTAATGCCTCTAAAATCATTACGGAAAAAAAACATAGTCAGAAGCGAGCGTCACAGAAGATGAAATGGTATGTAACGTACATAATAGTTAATACCTTCTTGTGACAGGTTGGTATGGTACAGTAATGAGATTCTAAACCTGTAGTTGATTTACTAACAAATCCATGATGCCAACTTTGTGCATAAACTTTCATCAAATTTTGTCATTTGGTTAAATAAAAACCACCCCTCCCCAACCACCCCCCCCAAAAAAAAAACACCCCAATACACAAACAAGCAAACAAACACCCCCAACAAACACACAAACAAAAACCAATCAACCCAACAAAAAAAACGAAACAAAACAAAAACTAATGTGTAATAAACCTGTGCATATATAGGCCTAGGCCTATAACACAAATTTATAAATTACATAAGGTCTGCATATTCAAGATATATATTCTTCCATCAGATAAAATTGCATGTTCCAATCTTGATGCAAAATTGAACATCAGTTCTTTCAGAAAACCAAACGGTCACCTGTGACCTTTTATTCATGTTTATGATCGCTTGACAACAGCGAAGCAGCGATGTCGAAGAGTACCGTACAATGCGGGGTGTCGTCAGCCTGATATCCAAGGGGCTTGACTGTCACCACAATCCACGACGGTACATTAAAGTCCTTGCTTAGGACCAAACTAAATACCGGAGAGAACGTCTAGAGAGGCGCGAATGATTGCTACGTAACACCCTCCGCTAACCACGGGCTGAAGCTTTAAGCCAGACGCATGCACGGTGGAACGACCGTATACGGGATGGGTCAACACGTCACCGCACCGGCGGGATAGGAGTAGCCGAGCGGCCGGGGTGAGGCAGCAGACACTTGGGATAACAACTCCAGACAGCTCCGCTGCTGGTCTTAACCGCTCTTGTATCTCAATAGAGTTGGGTACATGTTTGTCTTCAATATCATAAGTCGTAGGACAACTGCATGGGCAGGGTTTCAGATTTGGAGCGAGTTGCCATAATAACCGATGGAACAAAACTTAATTTGTCATGAAAACCTAACTCCTTTCTGCATTCATTCTTTACAAAGCTTCCTGTGCACAATGTGCTATTTTTGTTCACAACTTATAAAAGTATACTGTCAAAGTAAAGTGGTTGGATTCATAGTAAACTACGAATTTCTCTACATGATCCAAAAAACAAACAAAAAACACACCTGGCTGTTCCAAGGGCGGATCCAGAACACAATTTTTTTTGGGGGGCCAACAAATTTTGTCTCCCAAAAAGTGGGTCAAAAAATTACGGCGTGGGGTTCGGGGCCCGCTTAAGGGCCCCGAATTTTTTTTTGGATTCTCGATGCTCTGTGGTGCGATCTGACGCTCTGACCACTTTAACCAATGTTTTTTGAGGAAAAGATGGTGGTGTACTCATTGCCTGCCTTTATTGCGACGTCACATAAAACAACAACAATTGGTTTCGGTTTTTTTTGGGGGGGGGCCATGGCCCCCTTTGGCCCCCCCCCCCTGGATCCGCCCTTGGGCTGTTCGCGGACGCTGACATTTGAAGCAATGTGAGACAGTATTATTTTAAATCTTTTACACAATGAATTGCTTTGGAGAACAATGTAGCAATCTCAGATAAAACATAAATCGAATCCAGTGATTTTCGGGTTAGTAGCACATGAGACAGTGGGTAAAATATGACAATTCATGTATCACTGTAATAACTCAATTAAAGAGTTATCATTTCGAACGTCGAAGTAAAGGGTACAAATAATCGCTCTCGCAAAATGGGGGAGGCCGAGGATGGATAAACGAGATGTCGTTGCACAAAGTAAAGTATACAGCCTTAGAAAGTAATTTTTAAAGCCTGTGTTTTTCTAATCACCCTCATAACAAGTGCCGCCTCCTCTTGAATGATAACAAGCTGTCCGAGTGGCACCCATCGCGCACAACCGACCAATCAGAGTGATAGGGCTGCGCCAGGGCATCGCGCATGCTGATTGGTCTGGTTCCCTGACCTGACAATTCCAAGACGCCCTGACGTCTAAATTGTAGGTCAGGTAATCCCAACCTGGCTAAAAATAAACATGTAATCCCAACCTGGCTAAAAATAAACATGATGGCCCTTTTTCAAAGTTCAGCTCCATTTCCGGTTTGGTTTTATCGTTAAAAGCTTTTAATGTTCCGTTCAAATTTATATATATAAAAAACACTTGCTACATATATCATACAGTTTGATATTTCTGCAAGAAAACTTTGACTAATGTTGAGCTGAGCTGGAATCTTCAAAGTTAGAGACCCAAATAGCAGGCGAAGCCGAAATGGAGACGGCGATAAGTTTTGAAACCGTCGTCAGATTCAAAATAGTACATGACGCAGCAAAGCTTTCCCCTCGTACAAGAGTCGTATTGAATTTCAATTGTTTTAAATGCAAGCAATGAATATTTATTATCAACTCAATTCAGTTAATGTTTATTTAATAAGCATGGCAAATAAATAAAACCTATTTTATACCCGGAATTACCCGGGCGCTATCCGAGAGTGTCGACGAAATGCATTCGAAAAACTTCGGACATTTTCGGAAACTGAGGCATTCCTCCCGTTTTGGTCGCGTGCCGTGGCGTTTACATGACCTAAAATCCATCAGAAATAGTCAGAATCTTTTGGTCTGGGAACCAGACTAATCGCTGATTACTACACACCTGTCGGCGTTCTGTTCTGATGATTATTGTCAAGGGTCGGGGTGGGGGCTCATCCATGCCCTGGGTGGGTTTTTTGTATGCGAAAACACACAGTAGTTAAAAAAAAATAGCGTTTTCGGTATGCGTCGCCGATGTACACTCTCCCTGGCTAGTTACTCTCTTAGGTTTTGCGCGATATCGCACGATCCAAATGACCCGGTTTGCAGCGATTCTGGTATAGGTAGCAAACGAAGCTTGGCCGCAGGGTAAGGGTATCTTTTGCCTCACTGATAACAAAGGGAGAGCTCCTCTGAAGCATTAAATAAATAGGAGTATGATCAAGGAGTGGGCCGGGCGTTCATAGAGCGGAAAGCCCTCTTTGAGTTTTCACGGAAAAGATATCCATATTTTGTAATTTATGCGAATTTGAATCTCTAAACTCACCCCCCCCCCATTTGGAGAGAGAGGGTGCTTAACATAGGAATGGTTGGAGGCAGTACACGACCAAGGAAGTACCGTGGTTTGAGTACAATACCCCGACCCTGGTCGCGCTCCATGCCATGTGGCGCATTACAGCAGCAACCCACACACAAAGACGTCAATTACGCTTATAAACAAAAAGGCATCAAACTTGTATTATTTTAGTATTGATCCCGGATGTCTGTCGGTGAGGCAGTGGGTCAAACACAAACAGAACGATTATTGCCATCACGCTAAACTCATCGATGGTAACTTTTTTTTTAACATATCTAATTGCACGTTTAAATCGTACAATCCCGGCCCTGGATCCGTATTGAGGGTCCCCCTTGCTCCCCACAACCAATGTGTCAATATTCCAAAGGTTTGTCAACTTCTCGTGAATAGATATGGGCCTACAGCGGGCACTATAGACACCACGAGCAGTTATAGCGCAAGGGCAGCTCAGCGATTACTGAGTTTGACACCGCAGTGGCAACGGTCTGCGCGTGGAGCGCTAGCCAAGCAGCAAACGGCAAGCCCGCTTAGTGGTTGGCCGAGTCGGGCTAAACTCATCACCGATATAGCCACGGCCCTTGTGTTATGCTAAACAGCTTACGTGTGCCTGGCTTGCCAGTCGATAGTCCGTGACGATAGCGTGGTGTATACTACTAGTTCGGTCTGGTCAGGCGTGTTGTCTGCACGGTTTCCCCCCACAGTCCTGCAGATTGGTCAGTGGGCGGCGGTGGAGCATTTAAGCTGTCCTTTTTCTACCACGAGTGCTCATTTTCGTTCGGGACTTGGGGGCGTCAACGGTTGCACACTTCGAGGTACGAGAACGATTTAGTTGCACGGTTGCAATCTGTTTGCTGTTACATTTTTTTTCTGCCCTTATTATTTTTTTGATAATTGTTTTGGCTCACACACAGCTATTTTTTTCAATAGGATGTCTTTCTAGAGCATATTTTATTTTTTCCTTGGTCTGAATTTGGCAACTCCCGAGTTGAAAGTATACCTTCCATTTTTGGGTGGGGTGGGGGATTTACTTAAGGCCACACCAGTCTAAATTGACGAAATATTTGAATACTTTTCGAAGGGCGACAGCCTACAACGGATAATGCAATGTCGCACGCCAGCAGTTGCCTGTTTCTCTAAATTATCAATTAAAATTTAAAATTTTGTTTTTATCACAGCTACCAGCAGACTGTACTTACACTGCATGGAAGGGTCACAAGAGAATTCGTCATAATTTTGTAGTCGGATTCTGTACCTTAACTCTTCATCGAGTATTGGAGTGGAGAACAAGTCAACCGAGAGTTAATCGTTTCTCTGCGGATTACAAGCCTATAACAGAGAGTGCCGGGCATTTAGTCATTTCTCTCGGTCGTGGTTGTATCGCCGCCAGTGCTAGCGCAGATAGCCATGGAAGCCGTGCCGTTACCCAGCCTCCGATCGCCGCTCACGCTGGCAAGTAGCAGTCCCCGCAGTGACACGTCCTCGTCTTCTCTGTCGTCGTCGTCGTCGATGATGTCGTCGCCTAGCTCGTTGCTACCGACGACAATTAAGGCGAATTCACCCCAAGATATGGACGAGTCAGTGCATACCGCTAGTGGTGCAGCAGGCACGCGTTCCACCGGCTTCCAACATCACCATCACCACCATCACCATCAACATCCTCACGAAGCAAGCATCGTGCTGAGCGTGCCAAGAGCAGCTACTGCCGCCGTACTGGACTCCAAATCCACGGTAGAGCCTTCGGGTTCTTCCCCGCCGCACACCCTGCCCAACAACAACACCATCCACCCTTTGAAAACCTACCACATGGAGCCAGTTCGGACTTCCAACGCTCCCTCCTTCCTCATACGGGACATCCTGGGCGACATGAAGCCTAGGGAAGCCAGGAGGGGCGTTGCTTCGGAGGAGGAGGAGGCAGATGAAGAGGAAATTGACGAGGACAGGGACTCGGAGTGCGATGAGCGGACAATGTACGGGGAACATCGGGAGAAACTATCGGTAAGGGGTTCAGACTCGGAATCCCACAGGTATCATCACCACCATCACCACAACACAGAGAACAATTTGAAAAGACCGCATAGCGAAGATATCAGCGAAGAGATGAAAAACGGACACTGCGATATGGGAACAGGTAAATATGCTTCAATGCAACCTAATCAATAAGCGTTCATGTTAAAGCTTTCAATATAATTCCGTAGGCCTACTAACGCAGGTCAACTCACCATCACGACGTAACTAAATTTGGTCTTTTACAATGGATGGATTGAGAATTCAAATTTAGGCTCTTGATATATGTAGCATCCATTTTTCATTTCCTTCACTCTACCCTCCCACCCAGTAGCAGCTTTGTGTATACCATACACATACACCAGGTCCAACCGAGTACTGATTTCTCTCTGCTCACTATTTTACATTATGGGAACTTGTTGGCAAAGACTTTAAAAAATGTCAAACAGTAGTAAAATATGAATTATTACCGTATTGTAGCCTAAACTAAACTTCTTAAAATCCAACTTTACCCAACTATCCACCACATAGTTCCAACGCCCTCTCTGAGTCTTAGGCGGATATTTAGAGCGTTATTCAATACACTCTAATAACGTTATTAGCTTACAAGATGTGCATGTTCATAATTTGATCGAATGCCATGCCACCATGTATTGTGTCGAGTGGTGTACTCCTTTGTGTGAAGAGTGTGTGCATGTACACACTACTTCATGATTTTTTGTTCACATTGTCGGGTATTGCTTCATGCCGCAACAGCCCCACACAATCGCATCATTTCGAATCCTGCCGATGTCCCGTCGATAAGCGAATTTCCACAAAAGATAACTTGCGCTCGGAGGTGTTTTAGAAGGTGCGAGGGGTGCGTTTGAGACGGCGCATTAACAACGAAACAAGTGTGAAAAGAATGAAAACGGGCGATAAATACTAGGCACATTTAGGTTTCTTGTGTTCAAATCTATAAGTCCCTTCAGACCACGCCAGGTCGGTTTTCAAGCGTCTGTTCCTTGCTCTATGTTCTGTGCAATATTTCGATTGATTGTAATCGACACAATTTTTGGATTATTGTCACATTTAACACTTTAATGCAACGATAATATGGAATACCTTTTTGTACTTCATAGAACCGTATATACAATGCCTTAAAAGAACTGTACATGTATAGAAGACAATATAAGTTGAAGTTAAGAATAAGTTAGCTTGATAACTACAAAAGTATTCTTTTCCCCAAACAAATGGCATTTTTCTAGATGCATGTCTAAAATATATCGTTGAAATCGTGCTCTTATCAAGAGAACACGTTTGGAACGAGTGGAAACTATTCAGATATTCATTTAAGAAACATATCGGCTGCTTTGTATGCAAAATAAGTTAAATATATTCATATAATGTAAACTTTCCAAAACAAACTGCAGGAGATTCTAACTTAAATTCTCTTCTGAAATGTCTATCTAAAATACACGAACACCTCCCCGGCGTTCGTTATATAAACTCCGGATTGGATTATTTATGTAAAAAAAACTGACGCCAACATATTTCTTTTCCTTGATCAATTTATAAATCCCGTTGTAATTTGATCAGGAAGACAGTCACCCCGGATTATTATTATATAAAAAATATCAAAAAGGAAAAAAGTGCAGAAGTGTTGCTGTAACAAAAACACGATTGCCCAAGTACTACACAAAACAAAACTCAATAATCTGCACCACTCTGTGATTTTCAAAAGAATTTGAGATTGCTTTTTAATGACGGACGAACAACCGCCCATAGTCCCTGAGAGTATACGGTCCTCAAGACGCACTTCTCGGCTCTCACTACCGCCATCTCGTCCCTTTTTCGCCCCGCCGTAAAATCGAAATCCCACCGCGGCGAGCGATATTAGATTTTAATTTGTTTCAAAGTCGTCTAGTGGGGGCTGCTAAATGGGCATTAAGAGCTGAGCTGTTCGGCGGTGTATCCCCCCTCTTTCCATCGCTTATAGTCCCTGTATAGCCACATCTGCTCGGCAGTAAGCTAATCGAGTATCATTATACATGGAGAGCAAAGCTATAGGCGGTAGGGTGCCCAGTCAACTATGACGCTATGATAGGGGCTCGGCTGTGCTTACTCGAGGAATCAACATGGCTTATATTGCTGGAGAAAAATGCCCCGAGGAATTTTCTCTTTCTCTCAGTCTGTGTTAATGACAAGCGAAAGAGAAGAGGACTAGGCCTTATGTTTGGATATCGGGTCCAAAATCTGAAATTTTTCTTTCTGTATTTTACACATTTGTAATTTATATACAAAAATGGGGGGAACCACCGTTGAAAGGCAAAAGCATATATCACGTAATTATGTGACACTGGTTATATAATTTTCGTATTTAATTTCATTTTTTGGAATTCTCACATTTGCTTTACTCCCAAATTGATTTTCGACGACTTTCATCCATTTGTAACAAATGTAGCGAAAACAAATAATGATGGGGTTCGGAATCATTTTTCCCCCTTCTTTAGTTACAATCTTTCAACATCCTCCCCATTGTCTGAACAGCACTTTTCTTGAAAGGGTTGGCTAAATCAATAACAAACTTTTGTTTTTTTTAGCAACGAATTCATAAACGACCTATGACATAGAATCAAAGATGGAATGGAAGACGAAAACACGAAAGGACATTTTTGCAAACATACGAATGGATATAGACAAACAAAGTGAAAGACGTACATTAGATTCATGCATTATGGGGGCAACAAATTGGTTTTACACAGAATTGTCTGCGAAGCTACATTAAAAAACAACAACTTTGTAATACCTGGTTGTAGGTTGCTAAGCCAAGAATCCCAGTTAAGTGACAGCCTGCAAGTCCAACCTGACCGTGTATGAGCCTTGGGGTGACAATTTCATAATTATACAATTATAGCAAACACGTTGTAAAAACGTTTTCTCTGTCTCTTTTCCATTCTGGCCAAATCTCGCAGGGAAGGACAACGAGATCTCGTCCAGCCGTGATAGCCACAGCCCCGGTAAGCCCAAGAAGCCTCGCAAGGCGCGCACGGCCTTCACCGACCATCAGCTCAACTCCTTGGAGCGGAGCTTTGAACGTCAGAAATATCTGTCAGTCCAAGACCGAATGGAGCTGGCTGCTAGCTTGAACCTGACTGACACACAGGTCAAGACGTGGTACCAGAACAGAAGGTGAGTACAGCAAAGTTTACCAAACCCCGGTCTCGTTTGCGGCTCCGGCTTCCTCTCCTGCTTAAGATAAGAATCCTGTCATGTCCAAACAAATGAAATTAAACAAACCATTAGCCTTGCATGGTGACCACATTTTATGTCTCAATAACAAAATTTGGGAACCTGAAGCCTATAGTAGTTTGAACTGAATCAGGAGATTAAGTATGACAGACGAGGAGAGAAGGACGGGTCCAGCAATCGACTAAAAAGTGGGCGTCACTTAAAAACAAAACTGAATATGAATGATCCTGGTTTGATTGAACGCTGTGATCCTTGCAACATTTCCCAAAACAAAGTAGTGTAAAAATGGTTGAGTTAAGCCTGGTTATTGTGACATTTTTTACGATGTCGAAATTTGACCATGTAGAAAACGTGTTATTAGGCCATGAAAGCCCAATGCTGTAGACTGTTCCTGACCCAAGCTTCCATCATCGTTCTTGCTAATATATTTTAGGGGCGGGAACCCGGTCTACCATTACTGCATGCCGCGTGTGTTTACCACCGCGACGGGCATCTTGCTGATCTCGTTGGAAAACAAAGGGATGTTTCCGACTAAATTCGTCAACTATTAAAGCAAACGGATAATGCACACAGTACAAATCAAACGCATAATGCAAACAGTACATCCATTAATTTAAATGTTTAGTAAAAATTTCACTTGATATTCAAAAGTCTTGGATGTTCTTCTGGTATTAGTCACAACTTGTTTTTTCACAACCAGAACAATTTTTTGTTAGCACAAATTCTGGGGATTGGGGGGGGGGGGATGATCCAATGGCCAAGCCCCAGTCAAAAAGTGGGGGTAAATATCCACCATTCCCCGGGATTTGCACCCGTGAGGTGGTGTTAATTTATGTCATTCATGCTTTAGAGGGGAAACATAGTCATTGGCCCTCCCCCGTTACAAATGCCTGTATCCGTCTACCGTAAAGAAAGGACAGATATATTGAGACGAGCCGAATTGGAAAGACAAAGACAAAGACACAAACATCGACTGTTTCAGAATGCATAAACATACTGGCGAAATTGAGATTCGTTAAATATAATTAATTTCACAGACTAGAGTGGAAATAACGACTGAAGTTAAAAAAGATCAGCTCTATTGCTAAGGTACATCAACATTTTATTAGCAGTAGTGAAGGGCCATTCATGCGTCTCGCGTATCTCGCTTGTAGCGTATCCGGCCTAACGACAAATCTGCTTTTATAACGATGTTTCCGAAAATGTTTTAAAAAAAAATCCAAAGCACGCTTCAACATGACGCCAAATTTGCCCCGGGTTGACGATTGATAATCCGCTAAAAGAAAAAAACACCTCCCACGGAACAAGGAGGGAAACTGAAGCCTACTCAAGTGTAATGCACGGTGTGTTCTCGTCGTAAATGCGAGCGCGCTTTTTCTTTTTAATATTTCATGGGTCTTTTGATGTTCTGTTCTTGGTACGAGGCGTGCACGGTTTCCCGCTAGGCCATCTCCGCGTAGATTAGGGAAATCTTTCCCTCCGTTCGGAAACCTAACAAAAACATAAACCGTTTTGTTTCTTCTTTGGAAATATAAGCCAGGTCGTGTCTTGTTGTTGAGTAAATTTTTTGTTCGTTCTGCCGAAAGGGTGTATGTCTTTACCATCGCTTCCCTTCCCTTCCCGGGAGATAGACATACGCGGAGCTTATTGGGCATCAAACGCCTTAAAAGTGTGATCGCGCGCCCGGCTGAGCTAAGTAGGAATTATTGGATTATCTCCTCGTCTATATCGCTGTTCCATAATTGATATTTGATGTCGTTGGGAAGGAGCTTTTTTCTCTTGATCGGAATCGCCCATTCCTTAGATTATCCGGCTGTTAAATACCGGATGCGAGTTGACATTGCGAGGAGGTTCACTCAGAGTGAATCTATAGCAAATTGCTGGCATGGATTATCAGCATTTTGCGTGTGTGGGATGGTTCCTGAGTTCGGCGCGGCAGTTTGAGAGGATGAACAATGACGCACTGGAGAAAACAAAAAAGACAAACCAGAACATTGACTATAAGCAAATACATGTTAAACAATCATTTTCAGAATGTTAAAATTAAAATGTTCCCATAAAAAAATGGAACTTCGAGGATATAGATGGAAACAAACGTTGAAAACCGTTCACATACACAGCTTCATGTATACCTTTAAAAAGAAAAACCCGCACAATTCAGTAACTTTTCTCGCGAATGAATTTCGGGGTAGAATGTTTTTTTGGTCCTCAAAAATCAAGCCATCGGAGCGCTACTCGCTATATATGCACTGTGATACACATGTTTTTTTTTTCCAAAAAGTTTCTTCATACGCATGTGCGTGTGAGTCTAAACCTAGCGTGGGACCTGATATCATACTGTGAATGGTCCCTTATGAGATATGCATTGTATGTTGCGCCAGTCTATATTTACAATTTTCTCAAAATTCAATGGTGTTTATATTCACGGCTGGAATACGTATAGGTAATTGAAGCTGTTTAAATTGTTCAAGTTCCAACATTTTCTACGTAACTTATTGTAAGGCATAGGCCTACTGTCCGGTGAAACAGACATTTGGAATATGGCTAAAACAGGCGATCTCCGGGGGAAGTGCACCTTTAACTACGCACATTCTTTTGCTAAACGAGCAGCCAACATTGCGAGAAGGCGCGCTACTGGAACGAAATTTTGATTTTTTTTTTAAAGGCCCAAGTGATATTCGCAACAACAAGGTAAAAAAATAATAACACCTTTTACTTTACCTTTTCGCCTGATCGGCAACATCAAAATAAAGTCAGATTTTTCCGGGGATTATAAGCGTTACTATTTATCCGACACGCCGTTGGAATGTCCCGTTCTAAAGACCATAGAAAACAGAAAGGCCCAGCGCTTTCTTTGTGCCAAGTGGAGGGTCGATGCCAGCGCATGCCTAAGAATCCCGACTTCGATTCACAAAGGCCAGGAATGTGCTTTCAAATCCGAATCTTCCAAAGACCACAGCTGGATTCTGTACTTCCAAAAGTCATGAACATTTTTGACTTTGTGTTCGCCTGATCAAGAGTGCGAGCAATTTTATATTTTGTTTACACAAATCCACCCTCCCCTAAAAAGTCTTGTCTTTTTTTTTAAGCCAGAAGCTTTTTGGAGCGCAGACAAAAACCGGGATTTTTTTCCCGATTGTAAAGTCCGTTTTGTTGAATCCTTAAAGAAACATGCCCGATCGGCCATGAAATCAAAGAAAACTGTTTAAGTAAACAGTAGTGATTGTAGATTATTTTCTTACACTGAATTTTCTTGCTTAATATTGCCGATTTTTTGAAGCTTGCAAAAACTTTTTGATAATAAATTGCATGATCAGGAACTGAAGGCAAGTGTCTACATTGAATTTAATCGTTGAGTTTGAAAATATTGTGGTTTTTTTAAATTAATCAACGTGTTAATTATATTTGTTTGGTGGAGCTCCAGCATATAAAAATGGGAGACGTTTGATTACACTTGATGTGGTGTAAAACTGATGAAAAAGGAAACAATTAAGTAGCCATTAGCCAATGTACAATTACACAGTACCAAGCTATTACGGGGCCTCCAGTTCCTAGGCATGTGGCCCTGCCAATTAAACTGCCAAGTTTCACTCTTGTAACAAGGGGTGGAAATTGTGCCAAATTTGGCGTTAACAAGCTTGCAGAAGCGAAATATGGCGAAAGGGGTCTTTTTGTTTTCGGCAAACCAGCCAGGAAACCAGCGGAACCAATAGGCAGGCCCCAGTGCCGGACAAACAATGCCAGAAAACAACATATGCCCGCGGTTACAAAGTGGGGCCATTAAGAGGACTTTTTTTTTGGATGCCCGACGCGGAAAATTTGTTGGCTATTCAAATATAAAAAGAACCCGTTTCAAAAGCTACGGGGGCTCTAACAGCGCAATGATTACGACACTATTGGTGTGGACAAGGGGTACGAAGGGAGCCCCAGTAATTGATGTTGAAAGAGGGAGGTCAGGGTACAAATTGGGTACGAACCTTGGCCCCTGGCTGAACTATCAACCATGTGGTTTTTTTTGTCATCAGCCATAGGTCTACACTTCAGAATGAAAACGAACGCACGCATAATAAAATAATGCCGTCCTTTGAAAAGCACATTGTCGTCTGCGCGCGAACACCAATCGTTAATTAACTAAAATGTGGAAAGTTTATTTGTAAGAGTTATTGTCCTTTCATTATTTGCCCTTAATTATTTAACCATGGTGTTGATTATCATTTTCATATTTCAATTGAAATTCGCCCTGAAATAATGCTTTCAAGACGTGGCTTACTTCGGCTTGGCGCTTTGTAAAAAAAACGTCAACACGCTGCCACTTTCCAAAGATTAATTTTGAGCAGTCGTTTTATAAGTTTTATAAGTCGTTGGGCTAAAAAGGGCCATTATTCCAGATCATTGTGCAACTAAAGCGGCATATTCATAGGGACCCGGCAACAATACCAATCAAGTCGAGAATTCAAGTGTGAAAAAATATCGCTTGCAGGCGATTTTTTCGTTCCTTTCTTGTTTTCTCTCCTCGCCATAACCAACAAAAACGGTAACAAAACAACAACCACCGCGAGCGCTTGCAGACTACTTCTCAGTAGCGGGAGCCGAGGCGGCGGAAGTGCCGTACAAAACAGTTTATACACGGTAGGCTGACTGGCTCAGGGTACGCTCGCTAGGCTTTGCATTGTGAACGCGTTTAAAATTGGACTACCCCCTATAAGGAATGGCACGCCTAATAACGGCTAGAGGGAGAAAGCCGCTTGGCTTATATATATGGGGTAACATTTTGGTGTCCTGTGATTATTTAGGTTAGCTTAGTAAAATCAAGTAAACGGGGGGGGGGGGGGGGGAATGATTAGAACAGTTTACGAAACCGTATTAAGTTCTGCCCATGGCTCAAGTGTGTAGTCCTTTTTGACATGAAGACCGTGGGCCAGAAATCCTATCTCGCCTAGGAAATGAAGTCCGTTCAAGATTTCTGGTGGCAACATAAAAATGGTTGTTCTTTGTCAATTCGAGGGTGCTGAATTCAATTCTTTCTGGTGCCAAGCTCTCAGGTGGCACGTTTAAGCACAATCTTCGTCCGAAGTGTCATCTCAAAAACATTAATTTTGGGGGCCTCTGACAACCGATGGCGCAATCCATCCCCTTAAGGATCTCAGGAATGGCCCCTCCAATTTCAATGCAGATTGTCACCCATAATGCTAAATAACTGTAAACGATTGTAGACTCATAGCCGAAGGGATTCCATAATAATGGAAATAATGCAAACAACAATGCTTTGACTGTATACTTATGTGCAATGTTTTATTACATGTACCACCTGGTTTTTGAGACATAACAAAAAATAATGATTTAAATCTATAATGCTAAGCACATTTTTCCATAAATGTAAATGACTGAATTGCATGTCATTCAATAGTCTTTGTTGCCAAAAAAAAAACATAATTAAAGTTTGTTACTGTTTTGGTAATTAAATAGGAATTTATGCAGCAAATAACGCTTTGGTCATATTTAGTGTTGTATGCTAACACAGTATTTTTCCAAAGTATCACTGAAATTGTCCATGTGATGCTGAAAGATTACTGAATTAGTCGTTTATCCAAATTATACAAACTGTCTAAAACTTGAATTTCAAAGATTGTATAATTATGGGAAATAATTACAAATGTATGTATAATAATACAACATTTCTTTTCAAGGCATTATTATTCTCAAATGCAGAGCTCAAAGAGCTCTTTGTTGATGACCGAATTACTTCATTAACCTAACGTAAAGTATTTTGATGCCAAAAGTATTTAAATTGTAAGGGTTTCATGGTATATGAAGTGTGAAACTATGCAAAACATAACGCTTGGCAAATATTATGCCTTGTGGACAAATTGGTTTTCAAGGCATCACTGAACTTCCTATCAATTCCACAAATGTGAAGCTGAAAGACTATAGATTACTGAATAATGTCATTAACCCAAAATGAACCCAAAGATTTCATTATTATGGTAATTAATTATGCAGGTATGTAATGCTTTTTCAAAACATTATTTAGTTTTTCTCTTACATTTGGACCTGGAAAAACTATTTGTAAATGATTGGATATCCATTAGCCGGAAATAAACTCTTTAAAACTGGAACTTGGCTATTAATAAATATCCTTCATGAAAGTCATGATCACAGTTCACATTTCTACCATCTTATTCTACCATTTTGTGTGAGCAGTTGAGCACTTCCGCGGTAATAAAAGAAATATTACAAATAACCAAGAACAGGCTTACTGAATGTTGAAACAAAACACTGCCAAAATAGTCACTTCAAATATCAATCACAAGGAAACAAGCCACAGGAAATCCACATACAAATTATCTGTTGATACTAAACACCGAAAAGGAGGTGACGTTCAAACATGACTTTTGTGCATTTCATATTTTTCTCTACCAGAATCGAAATTACGCATACCGGTCCTGAAACTATGATTATCGACAAAGTGACCAATATTATGTGCTGGCAACGAAACAAATAAAATGTTTTATATGAGGCCATTGTTAATGTGAGAAGCATATTTCACCTTTCTGTTTTCCTGTCAGACATGACCGCAAAAAAGTTCCACCATTGTTATTATGGCGGTTACAACTCCCAGTTTAAATAGCTGTCAAATTCACAAATTTGCTGCAAAAAAGACGAACTTTGGCTTTTCAATGCTTCTTACTTTTTGTTCTTTACTAAGTGGATATACCAATACCTTCCGCTTAGCACTGTTACCATCATTAACTTGTCGGCAAACACATTCCTTTGCAACTACACATCATATATCAAACACTAACAAGCTGAAGACATGATCACGTTGATTTTGCCTGCCATGCACAACAGATATGAAATGAATAGTTTGAAGGAGGGCATTAATTTTCGTAACTTTTTTCCTATCCCAGGACAAAGTGGAAACGCCAAACAGCCGTTGGGTTGGAGCTTCTGGCCGAGGCAGGTAACTACACCGCCTCCATGCAGCGGATGTTTGCCCCACCCTTCTACTATCACCCGACCCAGGGGATTGTCTCTAACTTGGATGGGCTATATAACCTGCATGCCGGCCAGAGACCAGTGTTCCCCCGACTGTTCCTTCACGGACTCCAACAGCATGTCAGTCATCTACCGCTGGCCCCTCGAGCACTGCACCCCCACAGCCACTGACCACGATAACAGTAGGGTGATGATGAGCCTGACTCAACCTCATGCTCGTCCGAATGACATGTACCATTCCTAACATGCACACTTGCAGTTCTGGTGTGAGGTTCGGAACTCAACTGCCGTGGTGACAAAAGACAGTGAATGACTGTTCCATTGGCATTATCCAAGAACATCTAATAATGCACTGATTATCACTCAGCACAAGAATGTCATAATACGAAAACATGCTCCATCATTTGTCAACATCAGCAGCTCTTCTTCAAACCAAAAGCACCATTTGAAGACCGAGAAAGTAGTTTACCTCTTTGGCTGAAGACCCCCGAGTCGTGACAATTGGGTCTGATGGCTTTCAAGTACCACTGTCTTTATTTACGTAGGCGCTATGTTTATTATGTTTTTTTTGCATGTGAACTGGTGTTCGATTGTGAAACATCAGAAGTGGTCATGTCCAAGCCACATTTTTCATTGTCTTAACATATAATTACAAATATGGGATCAAATTATCTAGTCCCAAAACAATTTGAATTATTAAACAGTTTGAAAGAAAGTGGTTAAATTTGGGAAGAGAAATTATCTTACGAAAACAAACAGCTTTTGCGAGATACAGGTACCGATGAAACTACTAAATTAACCAAAATAACAACTGATGTATCCCCCCCCCCAAGAAAAGCAGTAAATTAAAGGAATGCAGTAGAAATTCATCTACGGATTACCGTTGCTGAAAAGTTTGCATATTTTGCCCGTAGCAAAACCATAAAATATTTTAATAGAATTTCAATGATTTGCAGTATCTTTATTGAATAGTTTTATTTTATAAAAACAGACTCACGAAAGTCATACACGAATACTTGCCGTAAAACTATCCCCTTGCCTATGCCTTTTACATTTGTCGTGAAACGAGGAATGACCACTTAATTAAATAAGCTTTTGGCAGTTCAGCTTTTGTACCAATCGAACGCAAGGGAAAGATTATTTAATTATTTAATGCGTTTTAAGATAAAGTGGTGCCGGCTAACTTTACTGGCTTCGTTGATTATGATTGTTCGGCTCAATTCACTTTAGAACACCCGAAGAAATCAAAAGTACTGAAAATTATCCTACGCAAACACACGCTGAAATTTTGAGCGCGCCAAAACAAAATAATAGCTCAAGAAATTATACGGTACATGACAATTATTGAACCGAAAAACTTCAACTATACACTGATTGATTTTTTTATGTTGTAATTTTAAAAGGCTTATATGTTTAAAGATTAAATTATTCTTGCCATAAAGTGATAATTGGAAAACAATGTGTTTTGAGCTCGAGATCATGATGGACAAAATAACCGGATTATCGCGCGCTACGATCGCATTTACCGACACCATTGAATAATGGACGACAAAAGTCATTTCGTCTATTACAGGGCCTTAACCTAATAAATTGACGTTCCATTCCCTGTGGAAAATATTGGATGGAAAATCATTTGAAACCTTGTTTGTCTTCAACTGCCAGCAGCGATCACACTGGACCATAAACGTATTACGCTCTATTTTGACAAAGAGCATAAAAATTACAGAAGTGTAAGGGAGAAATGAACTGAAGAACCACCACATCGATAATTGGCTTCGAATGCCTTCTAAAAGATCCCCAAAGTTTATTGGTATGTGCTCATTGCCCACATGATTGTCTGCGCGTAATCCAAAGTAAGATAGACAAATATATTATTTTCACATTCTTTTCAGATATTAAACACAAGAAATATGTATTCGACGTTGCCCTCTTAATAATTGGACTTTGTTAAAAAAAAAGTTTCAGCAGTATACTGCCAAATTTTGGGGGGAAATCCCAAGCAAAACCAACTGAATGAAAACCAAAAAAAACCAAAAAAAAACAAAACAAAGAAAACCTAAAACGTTAGCACTATGCTGTAACTTTGTAGCTGCTAATTTTACAACCGTGGTGTAAGTTTGTACATAAAAAGACAAAAATCAAGACTAGATGTATATGATTGACCTGTCCAATCAAATGTGACGGAACAATCCTTTAGATATATTGTTATGTGTACACATTTTTCCTGTGAACGTTGTGAAGTTGATAATAAAAGTTTACAGCTCGAAGAGCGTCGAAATAATGTCCACAGTTAAGATTTATATTTACGTCAGCCTGCCCCACCTATTCGTTCGGTCTGCATGTATGATTAATTAAAAATATATATATATAGGCCTACATGCAATAAATTCAGAATATGAGTTAAACAAACTTTGGCATATCTCTCTTCTGGACAGACTGTTTCGTACCATAAGGCACTCATCATGTGAATTGTGAATTGTGAATCAGCAGAATTGTGAATTGTGATAGAAGACGATTTCATTGGATATATATATATATATATATATATATATATATATATATATATTATTAAAAATAAATTCACTCTTAAAACACATAAAACAAAATCTTTAAAAATTCAACTCATGCACATATATAGGCTACCACAAAACGAAAACCGTCACCCACCCTTCAAAGTCTGACATATTTTACATCTATAGAACATCAAATGAAGCGATATTTATCCGACATTAATCTGGCAATGAGACTACAGTATCTCACTTCAGAAACATCGCTGTTGAAATCATGGCAATTAAAATGTTCTCAGAAGTTCCTGCAAAGGAACCACAGTTTCGTAAGATGATTGTGATGAATAGGCACAATACAAACTAGTCCCCATGGCGTCCAGCAGTACACTAGCACCACATGTTAGTTGTGACCGAGGGGGCGAGGTTGAGAATGAGGTATACCCCTGGGAACGAGATTGGAATGGTGCATGCCGCAAGCAGTGAAACTGGCTAGACTGTTTCCCGGCCGCGAATTTTTTTTCTCCCAAAACGACATCCGCATGTAGGTGAACGCTATGGCGTTTTTGGACTTTACTTTTCTAAAAACATGAGAAGAAAAAATATAATTAGAAAAAAAAGAATGAATTCGAACGTAATGAAATTCGGACTTTATTTCCCTTTAAAAAAATCCTCCGAAGCCTCAGGTTAGAAAAGAAATATATATTCAGGTTCAAATACGTGATTCGAACCCGCGACCTCACGTTGCTGAATCACGACCGTATCGACTGAGCTATCGCACTGCTCACCAAAATGTATGGGAAAAAAGTATGTACCTGCGTACGTACGTATCATAAAAATATCGTAGAGGGCGCTAAACAACCATGTATGTGGATGTAGTTTGGGAAAAGAAAATTCGCTTCCCGGCCCCCCATACTGAAGTCCGAGGGACAATAGGGACAGAGAACCAGACTTTCGCTCGTACCTCCCGCCCTGCAAACAGGACGCTGGGATACTCTGATGAGCTTCACAGAATCTTGTGAAGGAAGTGGCCTATGACCTATATATAAAGCATGATCTGGCTGCAGATGTTCAAGACCGCAGTTAGACAATGTGCGAAAATGCTATCAGAAAACTTCCCATAGAAATGCATACGTTCCATACCGGATGTGATTTCCGTTTCATTGCGGACCATGTGGACAAAATTTTGAGCGTCGCATAATGCAATCCGACCGTTCGTGATTCGAAGTGGAGCCTGGGCAAGTGACGGGAATTGTAAATTTACAACACAGATAAGTTTTAAAGAATTTCCTATATAATTACGCTTTTCAACGAAAAAAAAATCTTTAAAAGAGTAATGAATCAGTCTTAACGGCCGTTTCAAACCTTGCAGAGTCATGACCGTGTTGACGCACAGGTCACAGGTCACGCAAAATCCAACCAATCAGAGCGTGAATTCATCAGAGTATCCCAGCGTCCTGTTTGCAGGGCGGGGGGTACGACTATGAAACTGGCGCGGGGAAAAAATTCAACAGAGGGCGCCTTTAGTATTGTATGGGCCGAAGGGCTGTGTGGTACTTTTAAGCGCGACTAGCTAGCTGTGTGCGTTGGTAATTCCCGCCAGTATACTGTATTGTATGACCGGCCTAAACACCGTGGCCGATCCAGGATTTTCCAAAAGGGGTGGGTTCGGTGTTGAAATCCAAGAGTTTTTCGGGGGGGGGGGGGTGGCTAGATAAAGATTTAGCTTTGTAGTTCACGCATACAAATGTCATAGGCCTGAAGCAATGAATCAAAATTTGCAGTATTGAGTAATGACGTTATGCGCAACACAACCATGATAAGTGACACTCGATAAACATAACTTATTACTTGCATTTTGTTACTTGATGAACATAATGCGTGAAGAAAACGTGCACTTTCTTTTACCGCAGTTGCTTCAAAAACATTGACCAGTCATCCGCGGACCAGCAAACTTGGCTGCATGCATGAAGAACTCTAACCCTCGCATATAAAGTGTTATACAATGTACTCTGAATAAACGTTCAACGAGTAGAATCTGGACACTTAAACCGGTCGAGCAGTAACATACACTCAGATTTTCGGGGGTTTGGTTTTTTTTGTGTATTTTGTTTTCGTTTGTTTTTGAGCGTTTTTGAAATCATGCTCAAATGAATTCGAAAATGGTTCTGCAGTTGTTTTTCAAATAAACGGTTGATCGCGCACGCACCATTGTTTTCGCAAGTCTAAAAACCGTTGGCTTGCATAATATTATAGCCGTTTAAGCTTTCCTCTTTTTCGGGTGCATGGTGGGGGTTATTGGGGCGTATTAGATATAGGCTACTCGACATGGATTGAATTAGTGCAGCATGCTGCTGCATGCACAACTATTGTCGGTGTTCAACTGTCTATCTATTTTGTTTACGATTGTGATAGCTCGAATAATAAATGATCTTTTATGAATGTTCAAGTTCATTAAGGAAAAGCTTTCGTCTTTTACCCACTAGTATGGGCGTCTTTAAAATCAGAGAAACAATGTGAACTTCATTCAATAGACGCATCATCAACCCAACCCTCCCCCCGAAAAAAAACGAACAAAACAAAGCAAAACCGAAGTGCATAACATCAGGACGTCTGTCTTAACTGCATTAAAATCATGAGTCAGGTTCTATATGGTAAGGCAAAAGTACAAGAACAAATATTTTGTACTTCTCCTGAAAATCCGACTATAGGGTGAAACTGTAGATTGCCGTCACCAGACTATGCCACTTTCGCTCAGCGGATGCGAATTTGTGTAAACATGGTAAAGGAAGGGCCTTTGCAAAAATGACAAAATGTTGGTATATAGGCCTATATGCTTTTTGGGTGTGTATATACCTTGAAAAACATAGATTTTCAAATTGAATTGATAATTTTCTAGCATTACATTAGTTATGAGCTTTCCAAAGAGACATCGCACGAAAAAATCAACATATGACAAGTCATCAATATTAATTAATTTCAAGTTTTGAATTAAGAGCGGAACGCTCCTACTTCGTTCTGAATAGTGTGCGCAATTTCCGAACTGGAGTGCGCCATTTAAAACCAATTTTTAAAACTGTATAAAGGCCTGCAAAAACAAACAAGCACATTTATTTGTTACTGGACATTATATTCCATTACATTTCGTTCGGAACAGAAAATTTAAATTTTGAAACAGCACGTATGTACCAACTTTAAGACTGATGTACCGCTATAAGCCATTGGCAAAAAGCGCGCGCTAAAAGGGGTCCCTAAATGCCCTCGGATTTGCATAAGAGCTCTTTACAGGTGTCGTGAGTTCATTGATTATTGATACATTTCGCCAGGCAGGCTTCGGATACACCACAAAAAATGAAAGACAAGTCAGAAATATATCGCCTCATCTCCTACATCGTATAACCCATTGCTCCAGTCAAAAGAATTCTGGGCCTGCAGCGAGATTTAAACTCTACATTCGTTTTTTATCTCTTCAAATCTCTTCTTTTTGTGAAACTGAAATCGGTCGATCTGGGCCGGCGGGCGGAGAGTTCGCAAAGATCGGGCGCCGGAAATCTTGCATAAAAATGCAAGAAAGGAAGGGCATGTATAAATAGCGCCCTTTCAGCAAATAAAGGCAACATTGGTCTTTCTGATTTACCGGTACTCGCTTTTTCCCTTATTTCTTTTTCCGTCAAACTGTCCAATAAGAATGCTGGTAAATATTTCATGTTAAATTTCGTCCGTGGATATCGCAAAACGAAAATTGTTCTCTATTGTTTACTTGCCACAATTAAAAGGTCTGGGTCACAGAAAATGCACGTCTTATACATAACGGAGTAAATTTCCAAAAACCCGTTTGTTTACAGATAGCTGACGCGATGCGGTTTTTTAAAACTCTTCTATATATACGTGTTTTCAGCAGTGAATAAATCCAACGAATTTTTAGCTACACTGTTAACTGCCAACGCTAGCGCCGCATAAAATGCACGTCACGTAATTCACTGTGTGGTACCAGGTCACGAGCAAGTTTCTTTTATATGTTATCATGGCGATCCGAACGCACACCCATTGGAAGCAACTTCAAAAAACCCCGAGTGACTGGAAAGTGGAATGACGACTATCGGTCCAACGGCTTGATTTCGACCA